GGTACTTTGATGAGCTGTCGCGAATGATAGGAAGCGTTGTCAAGAACTATTACACTATTCACATCCAAATTTGGGATAAATGTGTTTTCAAACCAATCCTCGAAAATATTAACTTCCATGTTCTCATGATAGTCAACATTGCAGTCCTCAAGTTTTTTTCCACATAATTTAAAAGAATTCGGAAACCTCCTTTACTGCCTCCGCAATACACAATGATTAGTCGCGATCCTTCATTCGCTTCCTATGTTTTCCATAACTGCTTGACGTTTGTTTATTATTTTAAATCTAAATAGTAGTTTTTTTATCCAATTCTGAAGAGTTTTGTCACAGCACCTCACCTTATGGCCGGAAGTATTCAATTTCTTCCTTATGATTTCAGTTGTAGGAACCTCATTGCTTTTGTAACAGTCGTATATTATTTTTTCAATAATTTTATCAGATGAACATCTAAAGGTTTTGGTAATCCCGCATCACATCGCGTCTTGCGTTCATAAGGTTTGTTTTTTGACTATTTTACGTACAATTGTTAGGTGTACACGTTCTCGAACCATCAGTCCACCTTTTCGTAACTGTGTCATGAATGTCATACCAATTTTCGTCCAAATAGAAAATTTGCCGTTGTTCTTCTCTATATTTAGTTATTTGTTCTAAGTATTTGTTATGCAATTCTATTCTTATGCTTTCCATAACTGCTTGACGTTTGTTTATTATTTTAAATCTAAATAGTAGTTTTTTTTATCCAATTCTGAAGAGTTTTGTCACAGCAGCTCACCTTATCGCTGGAAGTATTCAATTTCTTCCTTATGATTTCAGTTGTAGGAATCTCAATGCTTTTGTAACAGTCGTATATTGTTTTTTCAATAATTTCATTAGATGAACATCTAAAGGTTTTGGTAATCCCGCATCACATCGCGTCTTGCGTTCATAAGGTTTGTTTTTGACTATTTTACGTACAATTGTTAGGCGTACACGTTCTCGAACCATCAGTCCACCTTATCTTAACTGTGTCATGAATGTCATACCAATTTTCGTGAATTATATTTCACTCAAACATGTAGGTATTATGAAGAAAAACAACTACAACCCAGTACTTTGAAATGTGTAATTGACTTAGTAGAATCCTACTTCAGCAAGTGCTGAAAATGTGACCCATTTGCTTCCATACAATAATACAGATTTTGTTCAAATCTATTCCTAACATTCTGTAGCATATCAGGTGTTATACTTCTGCACTCTGCTGTNTTGTTGATCAGCTGAGTCAATCGTCAACGTCAGTCAATGGAGTGAGGCAGATCTTCCTGAATTCCTCTTAAAATCGCTGAAAATGTTGAGTTTCCCGGTAACTGATAAGTTCACAGGAATAGGCGAGGGCAAGACCTTTAAAACGATTTATAACCACATCCCCCGTGTCATTAAAAAAATTTGAGGGCTAACTTCTGCTCGCATTTGAGTGAGGTTTCGGATATGAGGTTTCCGGATTTCTGGCCGTGTTCTTCAGGTTGTTAAGCCTGACGTTTCGTACTACTACTATGGTAGACATTATCAAAATGATGTGGTAACGGTCGTAGTGCCCGACTTGGTGCTCAAGTTGTTATTTGTGAGGTTGGTTTGGTTTCTCTTAATTGGATTACCTGAATTTGTTTGTGTACCTTCAATGACAGGTAGCCAGATTTTATTAATGCGAGGAACTTTTCAACCTATCTAACGAGAACATGTAATTTTTCGACCTTCTCAATTAGATTGTTTATCTCAATGTTGCAAAATACAGCTTTGTTGGCCTTTGGGATAGTATTAGTTTCTCAACTTCGGTTAGCGATTATTTGTTATTACCAAGAGTGATTTGAATAAAAAATTGACAATATCACCTTCGACATTATTTAATATCTTGTGAATCACTTTACGCAATAAAATATACTTTCAAAGAAAGTTAACAGCGACACTATACATTATTTATTTATGGTCATGTGGGTGAACCGCTGACCATAAAATCTCGCGCCGAAGAGACTAGATTAGGTCAGTGAACTGTTGACCATAAAGCACCGATAATAAGTAGGAGGTTTTTTTGACAAAATGATCGGACTAACATATTCACTGGCTCTTAGACTGAATTGGTTTTATAAATTTTTTAATGAACTCGAACACGGGTTCGATATGGGTGGACGATAAAATAGGAATTAACCAGCACTTTGAATACTTCTTCCATTTGCTATCCAAATAGATTTCCACGTGTTGAATGACTGGATATTTCAAGTACAGTTTTTCTCAAGGACAAAACACAAGCACTGCAGGAAAATCCTTAAGGAGCTCTCAGATCGGTGCCTGTGCGAAAGTAGCGATTTACATTGGATTTGAATCGCTGCAGATTATTTCCATTGGGGAAAACGTTCTCAGGAAGTTTATTTCACATGAACGCAGTAACTGAAACTCGTTTTGAACATTTCTGATTACTTCGCCTACACTCCTGTCTTATTCGTTCTTTTAAATCCTCAATATTTGCCGGTTTGGTCTTAAAAACTTTGCTCTTCAAGTAACCCCATAAGAAAAAGTCCAAAGGTGTCAAATCCGGAGACCTAGGTGGCCATTCATAGGGTCCTCTTCTGCCAATCCATCTGCCTGGAAATACATCATTCAGGTACTCACGGAAAGGTCTTGCAAAATGAGGAGGCGCGCCGTCCTGTTGAAACCAGATGTTTCTATTCGGGACGTCAGCTTCTATAGGACAAGGTAACAAAATAGCCAAATTCGGAACTAGGTCCTCCTGCAAGAATTCTAAATATCTTGCTCCAGTAAGATTTTCTTGGAAGAAAATCGGTCCTATAACTCGGTCACCAACAATCCCTGCCTAAACATTGACTTTTTCTGGATGTTGAGTGTGGCCTTCACTCATCCAGTGTGGGTTTCTGTCTGCCCAATAACGACAATTTTGACGATTTACCACACCATTCAACACACACGTTAATTTGTCAGAAAATAGAACGTTTTCTTTTTGTACAACATTCCTGTCTAGTAGATCCATCATTTGTTCGCAAAACTGGAGTCTTCTATCTGGATCATCTTCGGTGAGTTCCTGGAGGATTTCGGATATGCAGTTGGTTACCTCGTTCACAGGCACATGGGGCGACGACAAACCTGTTGTTTGTCGTGTTGTTTGATAATTGTGTTTAAAACAGCTGTTTTCCAATACAAAGTCAGATCTCGAAATGAAAATTGACGTGTTCTTTAAAGTTTTCAATCACACGTTCGTTTCAAGGGGCCAAATTTCATTAGAACGCCCTGTATACGGAAATGAACCCTATCTGACTTTTCATTCACTTTGGTTTTGATACAAATACGCATTGGATTCATTGTCTAAAATAAAACGTATTCGAAAATTCAACGCATTTTGCTTGCTCTCTGGCATTTAGCTCACAACAAAGAATTCTATTCTAACTGTTGGAATAACAAGCATCGTCAATAACAACAAACTCGTCACCGAGTAATTATGTAAGTTCTTATCGAAAAGCACTGAGCATTTCCTACGCCAACACTAGCGAAACCAGATCAAGGTCAGTTTATACGAAAACAAATATTGAGAAATACAAGCTGCAAGATGGAACAAAGAATATTTCTATCGAGTTCAGGAGTAGTCACGACGAATTCCCTTGTTGTATTCATTACGAAATGAAACAAAATGATTATACAGGGCGTTTATTGAACATGCGGCAAAAAATTAAGGGACTATTCCTTGGACTAGTCTAAAGATATTATGTCCTATGATGATTTTTGATAGGACGCTTTGTTTCGAAGATACGGAGCGAAATAACTAACCCCCCCCCGATCCAATCTTCTCCTCATCGACTCCCGATTAACACCAAGATCGTTTCTGATAGCGTTGCACCTAGCAATTCTCCGATTTCTCAAATCTTCCACATCTTCCACTGGTATAAACTAATGACTTTAGGTGGCCCCATAGGAAATAATCCAGGGGGTTCAAGTCCGGTGGTCGAGCAGGCCATAAGTGAGGTCCACCTCGACCAATCCAGCGATCTCCGTATGTTACTGTTACGAAACTCTCGAGCCGATATGCTAAAATGCGCTGGTACACCATCGTGTTTAAACCACATTGCATTTCTTGTAACCAATGGTACATCCTCCAGAAACTGAGGTGGCGTTTGTTCCAAAAAGTTGCGGTATACCTCGCCGGTAAGTTTTCCTGGCAGAAATACCGGTCCAATTAGGAAGTCACCTACAATTCCCACCC